TCGTCGAAATCGACGGGGGAACTGTCGCGTGTGTGTGTGTATTACTCTACATCCGGCAGTCCTGCTCCCATTCCCCAAATTCAGAGTCCTGCGAAATGAGCGACAGTTCCATTTATAGCAGCGAATGAATAGGATGCCTTAACAATGCCAGATAAACCCCTTGGCTGTCACAGAGCTTGTGTGCGCAAAGTACTGTCAAAGTCATATGTAAAAAGAAAGCTCCCCCTAAGTGGTTTTGCCTTCTCTCAGATGTCTCATCGATAAGTCGTTCAGCCACTGACCAAATAAGAGGACAGCTCTAGTCCCCCGGCCAACTGACGCACAAAGTAAACATTGTGGCTCTCAGGGAGACTTGATTCGCCGGAAAATTATGCCCGGAAGAGTTCGGCTCTGGATCGAATCTTCTTCTGTGGGAGCAGACATCCAAGGGCAGAGGGACGAGATACCGGATTCATCTTTGCTATCAAGAACATGTAGAAAAAGTGTCAACTGCAGGCACATATGCTACATCTCACGCCACGTTTACACACCTGCGGCCAAATTTGTACATGTATATATGTTACTCACCGTTTATAGTTACATATATTTCATGCATACTGTTTTCAATAGGGTCTTCAAAGGCATTGCCTACTACCCTAAATATACTGAACTATTGGAACGAAATAGAGGCAGATGCGCACAGTCTTCCACTCCCCTGTGTTGCACGAGGCCCGCAGCAGAACAGTTTAATGACAAAGACGAGTAAATCCGTAGTGTGCTCTTCTATAAATATAGACTGTACACGGCCAACCTTAATAACAGGATTGAAGCAAACGAAACAACTTCCTGTATATTCTTGAACTTGGTGGCGGAGCGATTGACGAATACGGAAAATTATTGGAGGACCTGTAGGGCTGAAGACGTACAGAGGTACGTTCGGTGCAATTTGCCGAGGAAATTCTCTGTTGCCCCCGAAGCAGGGCAACTACGATGCTGTTCTTCACGAAAATACTGCTAATGCTGGAGTGCTGAGATGAGCACTGACACCTTCATACTTTGCTAGACTTACCAGCTCGTAAAGAATCAAAAACACTGCCATTTCAACGTAGGAACTCTGCAGGCACTCGCCGGACACCATATGCAAGTCGATCCCAACAAAAACCCACCAGAGGCACCGTTTGGTTAGCACTAGGATCATCAATTGCGACGGACGAACTGACGCTCCGCGAATAGGACCGAGTTAACGCGGAAACAGGGCTTAATGACTCTAAAATCGATTTCGGCCTTCGTTAGGTTCCGCAAGTTAAACCTAAAACTAGGCGCTTGAGAATCAAGCGCATTACACATTAGCATGGAATCATACGAGCGACCTTAGTTTTTCAGGCGGCGATGGGCTTAGAATGGTCAGTTATAACGCAGCTACATTCGGGATCCTCATGCACTACAGTCGTAGAATGCCTCTGAGAAATTGCTACCCACGAAGATCGGTGCCTGGAATGAGTATCGCAACCACCTTCTCAAGCTTCCTGGTAGAGCGCAAGCCTTACTCTGGTCAGTGAAAGGTTACAGAAGTTTTTTTGGATTTCTGTAACGTCATTTTTCTTAAATTCATTTGGACTGCCATCGCCATCAAGGCAGCAGATTTGAAGTAAGAAATATGACAAGGAAGAACATAATAGTCGGTACAACAGGTAGCCGAAGAAAAACTACGTGTGGAAAAAATTAAAACAGACATATGTACAAGGCGCTATAGTTACGGAACCTTATAAAAATAATAGGAACTATAATATCTAAAGGGGAGCACAGGCATCATGTCAACAGACAGTTCGACACACTCTGATAGACAAAGGCTTTCATTGAGGGAAAGGGCAGCGAGGTGTGACTTTCACGACTGATATCCAGTGGAGTGTGTATTTGACAATCCACAGTGCTATCGCAAGGGGGGTTGAGCCATTGGCTCGCGAAGAGCGTCGTAGACGTCCAGGCTCGCATCTGACGCAAACTCGACAATGTGTTGATAGAGGTGTCGTTCGAGAATGCCAACACTGGCATACAGGTCAGTTGTCAGGTTCTCAATCGTCGTGAAGCGCAGACCGCCGTAGGCGTCCGGCTGTGTGGTTTTCGATCGGGAGCCTTCTGTAAAGTCTTCCGCAGTTATGGTCGCCCCATCGTCGTCGTCATCTGCGTCGTCTTCATGGTGTACCTCTGGGTTATCCTTCCCATTCTCCTTCAAATCTCCACCACTGTTAGTCACCACGTCTTCAGAGGCGGTTGGAAACAACTGCTCGCCAGAAAGCGTGCGCTCCCAAACGCTTCCATCATTACCGCAATCATTGGAGTCAGCAGCGAATACAAAAAGGTTGCGGACAAATGCCATCAGATCTTCACGGATAATATCACAGAAGCCTTTGGTGGACTCATCAGGGCCGAGAAAGCCCCAAGCAAGGGCAGGAGCAACGGTCTCTACAACACGATAGTAATGGGCGAAGAAGCCGTCTGGATATTGCAGTAACTTGCGTTTAGCTGTGAGCAGGGTCCAGACTGCCGAATCAAGCGCTGACTTCTTAAAGCTGGTACTTAGCCAGTTATTACGGGTAAGAACGAGGATGGAGGAGGGTGGATTGCCGAGATTCTCCAGGGCATCAAGTAGAAGGCGGTCGAAGACGATGTCATAAAAATTGAGAGTTTGGACGCCCTTGTTGTACAATTCATCGACAAGCTGGTTCCGTGCTTCAGGTGATCGTGATCCTTTCATAAAATCTATCAGTGCTCTGCAAGAAGAAATAAATCAAAAAAATATAAAGAAGAGAAGCGAGCTTGCATTCAAAAAATGTGCTTAGGCTGAAGGAAGCACTAAATCTATAGGGGACAGTAGCATTGAACGATACACTAAATAACGACAGAGTAAACGGGATTATGGTGACGATGATGGTGGTGGTGGGCCTAGACACGTCTGTCCGTTGAGTTATTAAAAAATGATACCTACGTCTTCGGTTTAGGCACGAGGATAGTGCTAGAGGCGACCTCCAGATAGTCATATCTATCGCTTGATGACGAAATACAGTGTAACGTCGGAATTTAATATGTCTGATGTTGAGCTTTCGGCTAAAAGCACCTCTGTCT